CATTTTGAAATTGTATACATATGTAGAAAAATACAATCTAATAAAATCAAATTTGAATTAGGATGAAAAGAATGAGTTGAAAAGAAAACCATAGCTTAATAGCTATATATTTGATATCAGTACAAAATTACTGTACCACAATATCCAGTTCTTTTTGCAAGACTTTTAATAAAAATAAGGTGACTTCAAATGTATATTGCTCCTTAAATGTACCGAAGGCCTTTGAAACAAGTTCATAATTCCTGAAAATATTCCCATTTGTTACAAGTGTTTACTGTGTGACTAAGAAACTAAAAATACAGCACTCTAGTTATTATGTTCATTTTATGCCTGTGCAAATAATCTTCTATTGATTTAATGCATGAGCAAAAACAAAAAAGGAAAAAAAAAAATCTATTACAAAGAAAAAGTGTTACATTTTTAACATATTAGTATCATAGCAAATACAGGTTTCCTTCATGGACTAGAAAGGACCACGTAAACCTGCAAGTTTTTTTGATTATGCAAATGCTACATTAATCTTCATTTACTTTGCAAAAGCCAAGGGTCAAGTTATTCAACCTTAATGCAGCATATTTTCATCGCATGAAAGGTTAGATTTCCTGTATCATATTAAAATTCTACACGCTGGAAAAAAAAAATAGGTCAGAATGCTAAATACCATAATCACAGGAAACAGTAGTAGTACTACAAAGTCAAACTCATTATTGTATAGGCTCTAGTCAAGTTTTCCACAGTGGACTTCAAGAATATTGTACCAATTCTCAATAACTCAAGAGTTAGTAATGGATACACCTTAGAACATATATCATGTTTCACCCAATGTGGGTGATCAAAACTTGCTATATCATTCATTTATGACCACAATTTAACACACTGGTTTTGTTAGTGTCCTTAAAAACATTGATGCTTGCAAATCAACGAATGCTACATCCCTTCTTAGGCAAACAAAAATGAGCAGACTACTTAGCAGTGAACTAGATTTGATTGTGTTATATTGCACTTGGGAATTAGAAGCTAGAATTCAGTACCAAAGATCCCACTCAAGGCAGTGAGAGTTATTAGAGGTCAGCATATAATCATGATAGGATCTGTGGGATTTGTTTGTGATAGGAGGCCATGGCCAACAGAGAACTCATGGGTTTTTCCCATCTCTGAAATAGATAAGCTGTAAGGCTCATCCATGGTCTGCCACCACCTTTTCATTTTTTTGTATTTTCATTTTTGTTTTATAAAATCCTATCATTTTTTTCCCCATTAAAAGCCAGCAGCACTGAATACAAAGGGTCACATTCAAAGCAAGTTGCATTGCATGTCAGGTTTTCTGTGACTTCATTAGACTCTGGAATAGGTCTTTAGTCTGGACCAAAGACAAAAACTAACTAGATCTTCACCAGGGTAATGCTGCTTTGTGACTATTCGTGAGGGTGTAGGAAAAAACACTGCAGGGTCTTTGCCAGGGTAACCAACAGATTTTTGCAACAATTGGGTCTGCTAACTGCAATATGAATCCTTCAGATCAACAAGAACATTCTAATTGTAGCTCATGTACTTTCAAAATACCCATGAGAGTTTACTGTAAAGACTACGTAAGCACGGAAGTTTAGAAACAACTAAATATTGAAAAACCTTTGCTTGGAAAAAATGCTTTATAAAAAAAGAACATATATAATAAACTTTCTTAAAGTTTCCACAAGCATTAAGTGTATCAAAGATCAATGTGTAAATCAAAATTTAAAACAGAAAAATTGGAAAAATAAAATTATAAACTTTATACTAATATCTGTGAACATTTCTTAAAGATTTCAACTTCTGCTGATAAATGTATCCCATATTTGACTTTGCAGTCATGCTTAAACAAAAGCTATCTCCACAACCTGGTAGTTTATTCAAAGAAATGTAAACCTACAAATCAGGTTCCTTGTTTTATGTTTTCTAAATACTGTCAGTCAAATATAGTATTAATATTCATTTTGTAATATAAATCACTTTTTAAAAGTGATCATGAGATGCTGCAATAATTGCAAACTGGAGTACTTATGGAATCTTATAATTCATTGTAAAAGATATAGCTCCTTTAAAATGTTTTCATTGTCCAAATAATTACATAGCTGTTGAATTTATATCATAAAAAATAACTGAAACATAACTCTCAAGAGGACTAATTCTCTGTTACTGTACTTGTATTTCTTTAATGCTGGCAGTATGCATCTTATGCACATAATTTCTGAATCAAGGGTATTAATTTAATTTCAAAATAAATTTCAAAAAGTTTCTTTAAAAGCTTTAAAATCATTCTACAATACTTGCTCTAACAATACATCAATGTAGGTAGATCAATATGAAATTTATACTGACATAAGTATACATATAGTCTATAATCTTATTGCTGAATCTAGAACATGAGATCAAATATTTCTTGCACCCCCATTCAGGAAAACATCCTGTACAGAACCTTCCTGAAACAGAAATGTTACTTTAAACTGAATTCGGTGTGTTATATCTACCTTCACTAAGTAACCTGCATTACCATTTACATATGGTACTGTTTTGTTTGTTTGTTTTTTAACCAAACTGGAAATTAGTGAACGTGGAGAAGCAACTGTTTGCTCCAGTAGAATGCAAGGAAATAAAAATCACTTAAATAAGTCTTGCTTTATATAACTTCAATAAATGGAAGAAACTTTCCATAGCTACAGCAGTTGTACCAATAAAATGTACCTTTTTATCCTGAAAATCAGCAAAATGAGTTTCCAGTTGCTACAGTAAAATTAAGATGCAGCTAGCACTGACATTAACAATGCTAAGTATGCCTTCCATGTGAGCCAAAGAGATCTTGATCGTGCTTTTTAAAATTTATTTTAATCTCCTTATAATGCCTAGACATGCAAGTAGGCTAATGAATTTCAAGTCAACACAGTGTGTACATGTAATGAAAGCACACATGTAAGAATTAGAGCGATAATCTGACAGTCTTTTAAACATCTTAACCTACTAAGATTAAGACTGGGTAAAAACAATCTCCTTGCATATAGATAATCAGTTCACGAAGTGTGTGAACTAGAAGCCTGTGTAAGTAACTGAACTTGTGGTTTATAATCACATTTTGAGACCAGCATCAAAGCCTGACTCCTGATTCTTTACTATGTTACTAGTGACAATAAGTTATTTTATAAGGCAAAAATAAAATGTTGGCCACACTGAAGACCTTGAAAATTCAGTGAAAGCAGAATTATGCCCTATGCCCTCTCATATAAACTAATTATATCTAAACAGATTGTCTAAAAATAACCATGTAAAAGGGTAAATAGTAAAGCCTATATCTGATATATGTACTGCTCCCTGCCCCCAGCTTTGTTCTGTCTCTTTTAATGACTCAAATGCCATCACAGTTCAGTATGAATGAACTTAATAACAAAAGCCATGTGTGGATTGTAAATCTTGGAAAGGATGCAGGAATGGGAGTTGAATCAAACTGTTCAGATAATTCTGGGTTTACTGGGCATTGAAGTATTTATTGGGGAGGTGCAGCTTTGAACAAAAAACCATAGATATGAAACCAAACCAAACCAGAGGTTTTGTCATTTGACGAGCTTCTCTACATAGAAATCTCACTGGTATAGTTCCAGGAGAAGTCTTTGTTTCTATATGTGGCTGCATACAGGAAGTTCATAATGTAATTTATTCCCTTTTTGGAATAGAGAATAAACAAATCTCATATAAGGCACCTTTGTAATAGTTTAAGCTCTCAGATTTGCACAACATAGCTACGGATGATTGCAAGCCAAACCACCTCCTAATTCGTAGCTACATGTCTACTGAAATGCATGAAGACAATGTTCTTTTATTATCTCTTAAATATAAGAAGCTTCATTTTACCACACCAAGCTAAGAATGACAAACCCATGCTTTAAACCACTGAAATTTTGGTAGGTTTAAAAAAACAGCAGTGAAAGAAAATATTTAGTGTCTTTTCTGGTAATGAAATGTATTGACATAATGAAATGTCTTGTGCAATGAAGCATACTATGACTGAAACGCAGAATGAGCAAAATGAAACAAGCCAAATCAACAGTCTCTTTCCAAACAAACCCTCTTGCATTGCCAGCTACACTGTACTTCATTTGACAAGCTCACTGGTCTCTCAGGGTAGGTGGCAAGGCAGGCCTGAGAGTAGTAGAAGTACTGATGTAATCTAGTTACGTTTGGCTGGCAGATACTCTAATTTAAACAGTCCCCATATCGCTTCATCCGGCACTTGGACATGGTCAACCACAGACTGTGAAAATTAATAACAGGTTACCAGTGCATCAGGTAACCTGTCACAAAGTATTCCTTCTATTGTTTTGCCAGAAACTGAAATTCAACCTGAGTAATATACAGACTTAACTTTCAACCCTGTGGAGGTTTGACTTGTGAATATAAAGGCTATGAGTTTTCTCATAAGAGACATCTGTTGGCAGCCACAGTCCGACATCTATTCTATGATTCCATGATTCTGTCTTGTCCCTGGCAGTACCTGAATGAATCCATGCTGCCAAGAATTCTGTGGAATACCTGTATCCTGATCTGTAGAAGTACACAGCAGTCTTTGGATCTTGCCCTGAATCTTTTCCTAGGTCCCATAGAAAATACATCATCCCCAGCTTTCTACCACTCGCTTCTTTTCTGTAGGCTCAGTCCCTACAATAAGAGACCTAGGACCTGGAGAACACTATTTGTAAAGTCTAAAGGGAAACCTCAAGACAGATGACTAAGCCAGAAGGGGAACAGGCATGCAGATGTGAACGATTCCACTGAATAAGCTCAATGGAATAAGCACTGAATATTTTTTTGAGCAGGAGGAAAAACGTGAGCAGAGTTAATGGGTCAAAGAATATTCTTCTGTTTTGTAAAACAAGCTGTGTTCATTTTTTTGTGCAACTACCTTTCAAGACCTAGGAAATGAAATGTAGTATACACCAACAAAAATCAATCAAAATTAAATGTGTGTAATCCAGCAAGTATCTATGGAAGCTGTCGGCTTCAAGAGCAAGCACAGACTCTGTGTAGCAATTCATGTAAAGTTGGTCTGTGAATAAAAAAAGATGGTCTCCTACATCCCAATAAGCAAAATCATAGCACTACATATTATTGAATTTTTTCCACACAAAAATCAGTGCAGATGCATTAGTCACATGTATAAACATAATACATACAAAAAGGAGGATTTAAATAAATTGCTCTTATTTTGTACATGCTGGTACATTCTGAGACCAGCAACTTTGCAGTCATGAGTGTTTTTTCCTTAGGAGGGAAAAGCAATGTCCATAACCAAGATGTAGGCATTTAAAAATTTCAGAATGTCTTACAGATAAAACTCTGCTTAAGCTTCTGATGTTCCTTCCCCATTCTCATGTGGTTGCAGTTGTTCTCTTTCTTGTTCTTCCTGAGGTGGTCTCACACGTTTGAAAAAGCCCATCTGTGATTCAGAGAACAATAAAGAATACTGTGTTGTGTTTTTCAAAACATACACACAACCTTTCTCTTTTGTAATCAGATTTTATTAGATATTTGATTTCCCACCCACCCCTCCCCCCTATCTTTTTCCTTTTCTTGGCCTCCAAAGAAATGTAACTGATTCAGTTGCTTAGGGGACCAAGGTATTTCTGTAAGCTGCTGGTACTATTTGAAGTAACACATCACTAGTAGGGAAAAGAAAACAATACAAAACCCCAAATACAGTACTTACCCTGTACATAACAAATACTAGAACAGCCAAGAGCAATAATCCTGCTAGGACAGCCAAAATTATAACCCACACTGGCACAGGCATAGGCTGTGGTTGAATGCCCCATGTAATGTTTGTAGTAACCTAATAGAAAATCACAGTAAATAACACTTTGCAGAGCAGAGACATGCCAACTTCATTCATGCAGTTTAAGTGTCATATATCTTAATATATTTAATATTTATTAAGCATTAATTCTTTTTCCTGTCTCTATGAAACCCTCCAGGGCACAGATGGTCTTTTTGTTCCACATTCATTCACATAGTACTTCATATATATACTAAAGGTCCATTATTCAAGCTCTAAACGCCACTACAGTAGAAAACAATTTTCAAGTAAAATATTTTGCTAACAACAATGGCATTATCAAGAACATTAGGACTGTTCACCATCATCTTTTTCGTTTTCAGTTAAGTCTTTAAAGCTACAATTACTGTTAACTCTTGGTTTACGAAAAAAAGTTTTGCTTTACCCTCAACTGTATGTGTGTAACTGAAATTAATATATGAATCAAATATTTGATAAAATTATCATTATACCAAGCCACCAAAAGTTACTCAATTGTCACTGGTTTTGTATTCATTTCAAAATAATTATGTATGGTAACTCAAGCCAGATGTAAGTGACTTACTACTGTAGAATTGTGGATATCTTCAAAGGAAAGGTTCTTATAAGGAAACTCTATAACATTGAAAGAAGCAGAAGATTTGAGAGAATAGGAGTGATTCTGATTTTCTTTCTGTGTAAGAAAATACAAAATTAGTATCACATGTGGATATTAAAAAAAAAATCACTTTTTATGTTTCAGAAGCAGGGGCAGAATATTCACAGTCACTCACATTCATGAAAGTTTGCGTCCAAAGGCGTGATTTTAAATACAATATTGCAATCTTTCCCCTTTCCAGGTGGCCAACTTGACAGATTATCTTTAAGCAATCAGCAGTTCCACAACCCTGCATATAAAAACAGGAAAGATATTATGAACAGGAAAATATTTGAAAAGTCATTAATGGCATTACCTTACTTGTACAGACAATTTATTGTCCTCTTTTCCTGGCAAAGCACCAGAAACGAATCAAATATATTTAATAACCCCTAATACTGAATAATTACTTACAGTCTCCCATAAGTTTGCATTCAGAAAAATGTTATGTGAGCCACTTGGATCCTAAACATGAAACAGCTGGAAGTGGCTTTAAGGTATATACTTTAGCTATGTACAGATAATATTGATGCTAAACCATGAGTACTTCAAGAAGAAAGCAGAGCAAAATAAGGCTTCATTTTATAACTGTGATTTTATCTATACTATAGATAAAAGCACTGTACAGTGAACGTACATTTGCCAGTATAAGTACGATACAGTGCAGTTGTTAGGAATACTGGATATAGTCTGTGAATTAGTCACCAATTCTGAATGAAGTGCCCAAATTGACCTTTGTTTTTGAGGACTTGGAAACGTAACAGCACAAAACCATAGTCATATGCCTCACTGGCTGACTATTCCAAGGAAATCTGATGAATACTGGGGGAAAACCCAACCAATGGCTCAAGAGCATATGACTTTTTTGTCTGTTAACTGTTTAAATGGAGAACATGGATTTTTCTGAAATTATTCCTCATCCCATGGAACTTTCATCTCCACCTTCATTTAAAAAAAACCCTAAAAATATTTTCCACGTATCAATGCTGAGAGCTTACCAAAGTATGCACGTCTCCTTCAGTGGCAGTTATATCCCTTCGACTGATACGATGATTGTGATTATCTTCCCTGCTAAGTGTTTCATTCTTATCATCATCTTTAGAAGCAGAAATCTAGGATACATGAAGGAAACCCAAATTATAAATAATTCTTACATTTAGATACACTTGAAGAATCCTAAATTAAGGTGAAGAAAATACATAATTGATCAGGTTTCTCTCTTCCTATTCTAGCAACTCTTCAGACCCTGACTTTACCTACAGCTGTTATTAAAATGTTACTCCTGCCTTTACCAGATCACTGATGCAAACTTCTATTGAGAATTAACACAGCCTTGAGTATCTTAATTATTCTTCAACTCAGAACTTTTTCATGTATATAAAACTCCTAGACTGCAATAAATAATTCAATTTTGCAGTCTGTTAAAGATTCTTCCTCAATATTTCTGGTTTTAGCTCTGAAAAAATAGCAATAGTATGGTACTGATGTACCATACACCCCTGTGCATGTGTACACATGTCCAGACATACACAAGTCCAGGAGGAACCGGAAAAAGTAAAACACCCCTATTGACCTCTGTGGCATTTGGATGAGGGCCTAGATAAATAAACTAGTAATAAAAAAAAATAGTGCCATTTTCTTCCAAAAAATAAACTCCAAAATATTTACAATGCTGATAACACCGATGTTTTTAGTTGTTGCTAAGTAATGTTTACTCTGACCAAGGACATTTCTCAGTCTCATGCTCTGCCAGGCAGGAGGGGAAGCCAGGAGGAAGCAGAGGCAGGACACCTGATCCAAACTGGCCAAAGGGGTATTCCATACCACAGCATGTCATGCCCAGGATAGAAACTGGGGGGAGTTACCCGGAAGGCCCAGATCGCTACTCGGGTCAGGGCTGGGTATCGGTCGGCGGGTGGTGAGCGGTTGTATCCTCTCCCCTTGTTATTCCTCTTATCATTATTATCGGTAGCAGTAGTGATTTGTATTATACCTTAGCTACTGGACTGCTCTTATCTCAACCCGTGGGAGTTACATTCCTCTGATTCTCCTCCCCATCTCTCCAGGAGGCGGGGGAGGAAGGAAGAGGGGGGGGAGTGAGCGAAAGGTTGCGTGGTTCCAAGTTGCAGGCTGGGCTTGAACCACGACACAAGACAAATTTATTTTTGGGTTGACAATCAATTGTCTACCTTTTATTTCACCTGCTATATACATTGAGAAGTGCTATCAAACAGTACAGTCTCATTCCTCAGCAACAGATGAAAACATAACCCAGACAGTGTTAAGATACTCTCAGGGATTTGGGTATTTTGAGTGTGTTTTCAAAATAAACAAACATACTTTATTCCACTCAAAAGGAAAGTCATACTTACCTTAATTTTTAATGGATTGATTTCCATATCAGAAGTGCAGTTCATGGGACCATCAATTTCATACTGAACAATATACAACAGTGTGTAGTTTTTGTATTTGTAAGGCCACTGCAAAGTCATCATCACCTTGCTGAATGCACTTGGACCATTGTTTCTTAGCTGATTATGAAAATAAAGGTAACAGATATAAATTAAAAAATGAATGCTGCCTTCTTTGTGCATGTAGTTCTTATTTTAAATAATACTGCCATTACTCCTACCCCAGCCACTTACGGCAATAGCATCAACAATTTTACCTAGAAGTGGTAGCTAAACTTCAGTCCCCCAACAGGCAAAACTTAAAATTACTTCTGTATTTGATAAAAAATACTTCGAAGAAAAGCCATATGGAATTAGGTTTTTTTGGAAGTCTATTGCACAAATCTCAGCTAGTGTATGTGTCTCAGTCAAGATACTCTGAGCACAAACACAAACATCCTTAAATTTCATTAGGTAAATGGTCTTTTAAATTCTTGAACAATTTTTAACTTTTAACTATTCTTATTCACACAACATCTAGACACAATCTAGATTAAGGCTATGATCATTCTTTTAAGGAACTTTTAAATACTTTAATTTTTTCAAGGCAAAAGACTTTACAATAATGTTTCAGAACAGTTGGAATACCAATGAGGATACTAAATAATTTACAGTGTGAGTAATTTTCTGAGTTCAAGTTACTTCAAATGTTTTATCTAGATTTCAAAGGGCTAGGAAGTAAAGGATGTGTAATGATGTAAAAAAATCAGCCTCTTCTATTTGGCTACAGCTGTAACAGTAATTGCAAGCATTCTAACCCTTCTTGCAGACACCAATTACTGACCCAGCATTAAAAAAATTAAATCTTTGTTTCCATGCAAGAACAAAATAAAGAAAAAAAAATGTAATTTACTCCAGAGAAAAGCTACACCAAAAAGAATTAATTTATCACAGAACTGTGCAATTGAAATCAATAGTAACTGCACACCTCATAGATATGCTGCACTAGAGGCCCAATATCATCTTCCGTTTCTGGATTCTCCTTCGGCTGCCAGTTTGCAATAGGAAGGAATATGTGATCAGGAGACGACACACTAAACATCAGAGCAAACAAGTCATTATTATTAAGTATAAATGATGATAGTAATTCACTAGAAAATCTCAAAAAAATTAACATGCTTAAAATACAATCTCCAATTTTTCATCCTCTGTATATAAAACCAGAAAGAAGAGATTGAGGGGCTTTTATATTAAATGTTCAGTTTTCTTCTCTACACGAAAACATAAGCCTTATATTCAGAAACTTTTTTTTTTCCTGCCCTAAACTTTGGATTCATCCTACCAAATCTAGTAAACCATTAACAGAATTAAGATACATACAAGTCATCTACAAAGTGTGAAATACTTTGATAATGGAAATATTGATGATGCAGAGACTTATCAGTACAGTGATAAGAATAATTCAGCATGCAGTGAGAACAGTGAAGCTAGCAGTAATGCTTTTCAGTTGTGCCATCCCCACGCCTCTCAGGCGGTAACAAAAGTAGACTACAGTAATGAATGCAGTGGAAATTCAAACAAATTATGACACTGGACTCTGAGGTTAACTGGCTAAGCAAGAGTCCAAGGACTGTAGAGCTTTTAGGTGTGAAGTATAGACCTGTGGCAAGCAGCAGTAATGGAGGTAATGGAGTCATTACAATATTAATATTATGCTTAAGACTGAAGAAGCTGAGGGCATTGCAAACTTATCTTCAGTAGGATTTTCAACTTTGATTTTAAAAAAGGTTTTAGAGGTTTTTGGATGAAAACCCAGTCAGTTCATGGAGGAGGAAAGTGACCTTGAGAAAAGTGTGCAACTGCAAAAATGAGGGGCAATTTTTATTTCTTCTCCTAAAAAAACCCTCTGGTAAGAAAGGCACAACATTCCTTTTTGGAATTAATTTTGTAATTATTTAGAATTATTTAAGATCTGAAAATTCAAAGGGTGGATGGAGAGAAACATACTTTCTTTATCATTATAAATTCCCTAAGGCTTCCTGAAAACTTACACAGATGTGAAAGAAAGTTAATTAAATATAAAGATGCAAATATATAAAACTTATTTGAGGGAGACATTTATTAAAATAGTATCAATGCTTACCCTCTAATTTCAACAGCTGCTGAAATAGCAAGGTCAGCCTGATAGAATGCTACTGGACTTAGATTATCATACAGGTTGGAACTGAAGAGAAAATAAAAGTTAATCTCTGAAATTAAATAAGTATTTAAAACCCCAAATGTTAAAACAATTGCATGTAACACCATGACTCTTCAGCCACTGTAGGAAAGCACAATTACTAAAAACTAAGGAGCAGATTCCAGCAAATTCTCATTTAAATGCCTGACAGCCCCACCCTCAGCACAGTTTGGAGGTCACTCAGCAGGCGGAAGTTGATGAAGTACACAGAGCTCATGCTGACTCCATCCTTAGCCTGCCACATGTAAGAAAATTCAAATGCTAGTGCTGTGGGATAACACCATATCTATAGCTAGCAGAGCCCTAAGTTCCACTGTTATGACACGTATTTTGCGCAGGGACTTGCTGGCCTCAAACTAGTCCCAGGACGGAAAAGTATGCTAGGGCGACTTTCGATTACCCCTCTTTACAGTGTTTAAGCCAGTTTACATCTGATTCCTACACTTGAGATACACCAACAGATAACAGATACCAAGGCACGTAGAGTCATTCATACATAAAATTTCTTTGGACTTTGTTTGTAAACAGGGAAAAAGAAATACAGGGAAAACTCCTATTCCTCTCAAAGTGGAGCTGGGAACAGAATCTTGATCTCCTGGGACACATATGATTATTCTGTCTATTTAGCCAAACAATTTCCTTCAGAAAGATCATCTAACTATTCTTCACTGCTGCTGTAATTGACAAATACATGCAACTGTGTTTTCTTCCTGATCTGTAAATACTAATATGTGCACTGGCACAGCCTATTAGCTGATGGAGAAGAGGGGAAAACGGTTGAACACACAGCAATGTGAGAGCAAAGATATATTTAATGGCCTTTGATCAGTATGGATCACTGTATCATTAGAATAGAATGGCAGGTTTAAACTTAATTTTATCTTAGTTTATCTTATACTTAAATTTAATCCTTGTAGCCAAGTGTGGATGAGAATAATTTATACACGGGGAGGGAGGGGGGAGAAAAAAAAAAGCAGCCCTTAAATGATAAAAAAAACCCCACCAAACAAACAAAAACTTTTTCCACCATGGGGGAGAACAAACAGGTCTATATGTACTCTTCGTTAAGCAACATAAAACTGTATTGGGTAAAGATACTCCTATCGATCAGGTCTCCAAATCTTACATAATCTCCAGGAGGTGTAAATTCAGATTTATATCCTCTATGTATATCAAAGTGCTGTGCTCATCTTATAATTAACAGGAACACTACTGTTTTGTTCTATTTAATTTTTAGACTCTCTTATGCTGGCTATTGTAAAACACTTTAAATGGTTCACTGCACACTGTTTCTGCTCAGATCATTGCATACATTGCCTTTTCTGAAAGGCTGATAACTGTCACCCTCAAAATACGTAAGATTTGAAATTCTGGCTTTACTTCAGAAGGAATTCAGAGTTCAAACATCAATTCTAAAACACGGCTAGAAACCCAAAGGCACAGTCATTCTGTGGCACTGCACAAGTGCCAGATAACAATGGTATGCAGGTAGAAAAATACAGTTTTTCTTGAAAAGCTCTAAATGGTTTTGTTCCTCATTATTAGTATTTCACTTGTGCCATGGCCTGTCTAAAAGCTGTAAACAAAATAAATTACATTCAGACAGAAAACTGTCTTTTCTTACATTTTTACTCTATTTTAGAACACAAAATTCGTCTAAAGGGTGTGTTTATTTTTTAAGCGAGTATGAAACAAAGACCAGAGAATTAGTCCAGAGTGACACTAACTACTTAGTTCACAGTGTATTTACGCAGCACGTTTTCTACCAGGTGAGGTACATATTCCTAGATTTCCATACCTTCGAATTTGCAAATCAAACTTCACAGAGGTATCCATTTCAGACTGCTGGTGCACACTGAAACGCAGGCCAGCTAATAGCTTTAGAAATAAAATCATCATGGCTTAGTGGAAGCATGATAAAATACACAATAAAAGCTTCTTAATACTACAACAAAATAATATACTACAGCAAAATTGCTTGAGGCTTGTAGTCATAAGAGAGCACACACAGAGAACTGGCAAATAAAACTTGTTCACTTCATGAAGACTAGAAACGTACGGTCCTCTCTAGATTGCAGCCAATGCATCACTACCAAAAAACAGAAACGTAAGATTTACATCATGCTCACCCCCCTTACTTCAGCCATTTCTACACATAACTGAGCCTCCCTATGTGTTACAAAAAGCACTGTAGCCTGAAGAACAGAGCACACTAATGATTCTAAATTCAGTTCCCAGAGTTTGTTCTATGTCAGTGCATGATAGTTGCTTCAACATCTGTATAGTTCAGCTTGATCTACGTTGAAAGACTTTGGGAATAACATTTATTCATCTATACAAAATGTCTCTTGAAAGAAAAGCACCTTCAAACTGTTCATACTCATGCCTGATTTTCACATTATTTCCTTGGAAAATAAGACTTACTGCATCATATCATCTTAGTATCTACTAGGTCCCACTAATAGCTATTTAATTCTTCAAATTCCAGCTACATTTGGTGGATGTGCAGAGGTCTCAACTAGACACAACTCTCTCTCAAACCATGAAACAAAGCAGAAGAGAGAAGTATTATTAGGTTTCCACTAAAATAAAGGTGTGTTAATAGCTAGCTCTTTGTTATATATTAAAAATACATACCCAATAAATCTAAAGACAAACTGAAGAGGCATCAGAGTTCATTAATTCCACTGTTCAATGAACTACTCACTTTGAGTTATAACTCATTAACAATCCTTTCAGCCTTTAATTTAGCCAAAAAGCTAAAACAAATTACCACTGAACTAGCCAAACATGTGGGCAGCTAAATGTCAGCTACATCTAATTTTAAATTCCTGGGGGTAAAATCCTGCCCAGACACGATGGTGATTAAGAAAAATGCTGACTGTACTGCTTGATCTACCAGACACCTGTTGGACCAAACCTTACCTTAGTTCCTGCTTTCATGGGATTTCCCAGGTCACAAACTACCATGCGAGTTTGATTCTCTGTTTTAAATGCACAAGACAGTCTTGCTAAAGCCTGCAATACAGCAAAAAAAAGTATTAAGGAATGGCATTCTTTACAGCTGGAGACCTGGACGAAAGTCTGGAGAAAAGTTCTAGATACGCTGTGTCAGTTTTAATATAATTTCTCAGTCCTAACACAGTCAAGCACTAAAATTAAATAAAATCTTAAGTATGAAAGTGTCCTGGGTTCAGCTATAGCAGTCATTTTTCTCCTTCTTAGTAGCTGGTGCAGTGCTGTGTTTTTGACTTTCAGTCTGGGAACAACGCTGATAACACACCGATGTTTTTAGTTGTGGCTCAGTCATGTTTACTCTGACCAAGGACTTTCTCAGTCTTATGCTCTGCCAGGCAGGAGGGGAAGCCGGGAGGAAGCGGAGACAGGACACCTGACCCAAACTGGCTAAAGGGGTATTCCATACCACAGCACGTCATGCCCAGTATATAAACTGGGGGGAGTTACCCGGAAGGCCCAGATCGCTGCTCGGGTAGGGCTGGGTATCGGTCGGCGGGTGGTGAGCGGTTGTGTCCTCTCCCCTTGTTATTCCTCTTATCATTATTATTGGTAGCAGTAGTGGTTTGTATTATACCTTAGTTACTGGAGTGCTGTTATCTCAACCCGTGGGAGTTACATTCCTCCGATTCTCCTTCTCATCCCTCCGGGAGCGGGGGGGAGGAAGGAAGAGGGGGGGGAATGAGCGAGCGGCTGCGTGGGTTCACGTTGCCGGCTGGGCTTGAACCACGACAGAAAGTCTCCATGGAGACAGATATTTTTGATATGAGACAGATGCTCTTTCCAAAGTCACAAAAAAGAGAAATTCAATATTCTTACATTGGGTATCACTGGTGATTTTTGTGACCTAAAGCATTTCTCCATGTGATTCTTTAAAACCTATGTGAGGAAACTCTGGCAATTGTGCAAACTCTCCATAAGAAAATAAAGATTCAAATGCAAAATAACATGAATTCTTACTAGCTTACTCAAAAAGACGTGTTAGAGGAGGTATCAGATTTTGGACAAAGCCACATCACAAAGCACTTAGAATAGCAGAGGCAAACTGGAGAACCAAAGCAAGGCATGGTCCAACATGTATGAAGGATGTGGTTGTATATCCAAGTTGGAAACCTTTGATGTAGGGCAACAACAGTTTTCCCCTTAAGATTCCGTGACTTTACAGATACATTTATTTGTCATAGATTAAACCAAATAATGAAGAAGAAAATGATGAAGAAAAAATGAAAATATATTACTATTACTACACAATATATTAGCTATAATGGGCTAAACCAAAATTTGGACTACACCTACATGTATTCAGTAAAAGAGAAGTTATACAGACATTTTCTAATACAAGGGAAAATCAGGAAACACATTTTAATATTCTGTGTAGTTAGGATAACTGACACGCAAAACTTTCTACATACTTAGATAAGGAGAATAGTGATACCCAGTATCACTTTTTGCCTCGCAGGTGTCCAGCTGTTTACACCTAGCAGGAGATGCTAAATCTAAATTTAAATAAGGGTACAGTTCAAATAAAGTCTTGTAGCAGATAAACTCTGTGTGTCAAGCTCCAACACACAGATGATTCTCCTTTGTTCTTGGCAGTGGCTCTCAAATTGAAACCATCCAACCAGGTATTATATGGCCTTGAGGCTTGGAAGAGCCTTATCATTTTTTCAGTGCTTTACTTTAGGATCAAAGCATAAAAAACACTACTAATGAACCCTCTCCCAAAAACTTCCATAGCAGCACCTGAAATCTGACTACTCAAAGAAGAAAGATAGTTGGAATTTTACCTCGTTGTTACGAACAACACCGATGAAATCTGCTTGGGGTGGAACGATGACAAAGAGTTCTGCTTCATAGGCTCCTTCTCCTAGATTCTGAGCACTGACAATTAGCGTCAAGGGATTGTCATCACCAATATAGATCTGCTTCTGATCACTACAAAACAACAAATGCAAAAATGAGCTTTGCATTCAGGTTTTCAACTGTATTGAACTGGTTGAACTTAGAGAAACAAGAGACATTCTGAAATTGCACAAGACATTAGAGAAATGTAGAGGCAGCACCTATGCTTCAGGAGTATCAAGAGAGCTCTACACATTTTTTAAAAAACCCTGTATCTATAATCACAGAAATGGAGCAAACATTACATGCTGGCTTTTAGAAATCTGTTCTACAAAATTTACAGTAAACCACAAAACCACCAACACCTTTTTTTAACAAGGAACAAACAATTATGAACAGCTAAATCACTGTATACATTTTGAATTACATGCCTACTTAGCAAAGATAGAAAGTTTATAACGTTTTGATGGAAGGCTCAACAACAGAATACACCCAGGACCTCTGGTAATACATTTGTTCCAGACACAAAAAGGGTATCTGTCCAATGTATTTTAATTTCACCAACTACAAGGAAACCTAACAGTATCTGCACTGATACAAAATGTTTCTGAAGCATTTGCATGAATTAGCATATTTGTGAACTGTACTAACTACATACATGTGCGCATGCTATAGCTCTGCACTAAGGGCATGAAAAACCCCAACAGATAACGTTATTGAGTAGAGATAATACACCTAGAATGGCTTTTGGGCATACAAAGAACAAAAAGCTCAGACTTACGAAAGAATTACAAGTTGACACTTGTTCCTTTTTTCCAGGTTTAATAAAAGATATTACCCACAATTTTTTTCATAGATGTAACAACACAGCTCTAGTCTGCCCCTTGCTGGATAAAATCATGCCTGTTCACATCTTCATGTGTCTGTCTAGTGTTATATGACAGAACAATGGTACAATTGAAGCTAATACTGATTTTTGCTTGCCATGCATGTCCAGCTTAGCAAACATACAAATAAATACTGTGTACTTACAATGGGGGATAGGGTGGGGGTATGTGCTCTCGCTGTATTACGTGCTAAAAACTTTAGGTTACAAAGCAGAAAATGGGTTTTCTTTAAAACAAATAAGTATGAGTTTAGATAGTATACACTAAGGAGTCCTACTTATTTCAACACATTTTAACAGAAGTATTAAAAGCTCTTGAAGTTTATAATTGAAGTAGGGAAGTTATTTTTCCATGTAGTATTTTTCTCATGTATTTACCTTTCTACTGAAACCTCCAGTTTTGGTCTGCAGACATTATCATCACCACAATCCAGCAGAATATGTGCCTATGCAAAAATCAAATACATATTGTTGTAAGAATTCCTGCATCTGTTCCAACATATATTTTCAATAATGCTGTTTCACCACCAAATAAAAATTTTCTAAATAGCTGGTTATGAGAGATCTTCAACTCAGTCTCAGAAGAGAACAAATGAGTTTTTATATATGGGGGTATTGTGCCTCATCCTGACACACTGCAACTGTAGGACTGATGTCTACAGATATTAATTGTGTTTCCTCTGAATAATCTGTTCATTTGAGTTGCATACCCACTATCCTCTTTACAAACAAGTGCAAAAGTCTGTATAATGGACAGAAATAGAAAAACTATGCTTATTACCTTAGAATTATACGGATAAACATAATATACATATAGCAGCATAGCAGGAGCACTGGACGAAATACTCCAATCCTTCAAGACTGACAACTTTAATAACACTCTATCTGCTCTTCTCCAGAGAACTGTTCATTATATGCATGAAAAGGAAGTAAAAAAAAAAAAAAGAAACTTGACAGAGAAGGAAGAAAAGAGAAGACAAACAGACAAACATACAATAACCATCAATGTTTCCATAATTCAAAGACTAAAGCCTACATGTATATTTTGGTGTCTTAATTTTTCAGAAGTTCTAGAATGAACTTGAGTCTTGAAGGCTGAAAATATGTTCTGCGTTCTGTCATCACACATTGTGTAAGAAGTATACCTGTCTGCTCATATTAGCAGGAGTGAACTGGTTGAGGATAGGGTGTAATCCTGTTGCATCTGCAGCTGTTCTGTAATCCAGACGATATTCCATAAAGATAGTAATGGGAGTTAGTTTGTCTCTAAATTCAGATTCATCCTGATGAAACCAAAATTTGAATTACAATTAGAACTTGTGAAGAAAATAACAAAAAATATCCTTCAGAAGTCTCTATACGTAACAAACAGTCATCCTGAGAACAAATTCTGAGCAGTATTTTTATTTATTGTTCATATTATAATAGGAATGAGGAAGCCAAAACAACACTAAAACTTCTGAGCTCTTTCCACACTAGAAAATCTGCAGTGCCAACTTTGAAGATGGACAGTTTTAGCAGTAGCATGCCTGTTTTACAAATGCAAAACTGGAGCATACAGAAGTATTAAGTCATAGAACTGTAACAGTGAGGAGCCTAAAGGGCTATACAATCTCACTCTTCCCTGTCAGAAAAATTCACTATGCTTTCAAGATCCCTCACAGGTATTCACCTGTGGACGTGTGATTTTTCCCCTCCTAAAATTATTACTTTACACTTTGAGTTGCTGACTTCCATATTGTTCATTTCAAATCATTGTTTATCAGATATTGATCCTGCCTTTCAGTAATCTTACAAACTGTCTCTTTGCTTTATGTAAGTCACAGATTTTTATCACTATAAACTCTGCTTCATTATTTTCAAAAATGAGAAGAATGAAAATTACTGACTCTAAAAGAGCTCATTGCAGGATCTTACTTCAGAAGCTATCTTCTATGGGCAGAAACCTGTTGATAATAATTTTCAAATGGTTCTGCTTCCAATGTAACGTAATTTCATAAAGGTCATGGGTCATTACTTTCTTTATGAGAATGTCAGGTGGAAAAGTGTTAAAGCTTTACTAATGATCTCGGATATGTATTTCCATGTATACCCCACTCACAAGGCCAGCCAAGGAAAGGTATTATCTCTCCTCCATGAATCCTTAATGATTACTAGTATTTTTATTAGTTTTGCGGATTTGTTTTGGGTTTTATTTTTTATTTTTTTTTAAGAAAGGATTGTTTGTTTAATTTATAAGCACTCAGATAAATCTAAGCTGCATGTTCATAGCAAAGACATCTGAAAATGTAGCTATTTCAGCCAGTGCTTCTTCTACTGGGTTACACTTTTTAATTGTGTTAGCATCTGTCCACGTTCGTGGGAACTAAAACAGACTGAGAAAAAATAAGCTTCCTATTTCAGCCTTCTCTGTCCCCTCCGTTACTTGCTGATCTTTACCTTTTAGATGCAGATCCATATTTTTCTTTACATTTTACCTCCAAAGTGGAAGAACAACCTCTGCTTGCTGACTTTCACATTCCTTCAAATTATAATTTTGTGCCCAGATGACTTGTCCAGGAAGTCCATAATAAAGCTCAGAATTGAATTTCCAATCCATTTAGTGACCAAACCTTAGCCACCATAAGTACCCATCATTCATACTCTGACCGAAGTGATAACTCATGACAGACATATGGCTTTAGTAGTTTTAGGTCTATGTGGGGCACGAAGTTTCTCTAGCATTTCTTTTTTCTTTTTGTTTTTCTAAACATCTAACACAAGGAATCTGTAATTGACAATGCACCAAAAATTATTTTCCTAAAACATAAATGGCTGCTTACCCTCAAAAAGGCATCGAGTTCTTCACAATTCATTTTGCCCCCCTTGGTAATAGTCATATTCTTAGAGTGGCTAGGCTGTTTACTGTGGAGAAAGAGAGCTCTCCTTATAGCTCCTTTCTGCTTAAGTTTATCCAACAGCAGCTCCACTTGGAAATCTGTCCAATCCAAAGCAGTTATGTTAGGGATAGTTCATTCAATTAAAAACACTACAGATTCTCATCAGAAATGGAGCTGAATGCTGATTTCAACTACAATAAAACCTAGTACTTGGAAATTTTAAATCTTCCCCTTCCTTCAAGATAAGAATCTGTTTCTACATTAGTTCTCAAAACAGTAACCAATAGGCATGGTTGTTGTCCTAAATTGGTCTCTGCTTTTTCCTTAAACACTGGAAACATACAGGAAACATTCAAGGTCAGGTTAGGCAGAGCCTTGGCTGACCTGGTCTAGGGTGAGGCATCCCTGCCCATGGCAGGGGGTTGGAACTAGATGATCTTAAGGTCCTTTCCAACCCAAGCCATTCTATGATTCTAGGAAGAGCACTGATACATTTTTAATTGCTATAGGACTGATGAACAAGTTAAATTCCACCACCCCCCCCCCCAAAAAAAATAAGGCAATCTTGAATGTAACACATTACAGCATGTAACTGTATTGCTAATCTAATTACTTTGAATATTTAATATAGATAATGAAATTTAAAATATGTAACAGCCATTTGTATGAATCTTCCCAGATCATAACACCTCTATACATGCCATACAGAAAATAAGGAAACGATTCTAGAATCAGTAGATGAAACCTGATTGTAGCAGGCTGTCTGCCACACTACAAAATCTCTTAAAGGTAACTTAAAAACCTGTTTAAAACATACTTTTCCTGAGTCTGATCCAGAAAACCTGATAAAAAAATTAATGGTATCAATCATAAGGTTATGATTTCAAAAGAATTATGAGAAGTCCCTTGTTGCTTGTCCATATTTTTCAGGCCTAACAATGTACATATTTGAATATTCTTTTCTAAAACTCCCCTCAACGAGAGGTGATCTCAATTCTGTAATACAAAGGATTTTCCAAGACTAGTTCCACCAAGTGGTCAAACATAAGTCTGAAGTCTCAGGTATGCTAAAATCCCACTGACTTCAACACAACTTTAGCAAAAGACCTGCTGAAGACATATATAGATGTACATGGTTACCAGACTGGTAGTACAGTGCTGTAAAGGGTAGGCAACAATAATGAAGAACAGCGACCAGTGCTCATATCTGCAAACAATATATAAAAAGACTTTAGAAGTTTTTAAATTAGCAGAACTTACTGAGTGAATTAGGGAGCTTTCCTTTGCCATCTGCTTTTAAGCAGAACTTTACTTTGAAGCTGTTTTGGAGGAAAAGAAAATATTAATTTCACACACTTTTTGTCTCATTTTCTTCTAAAATTCTTTACTATTTTTCTCAGTTCAAAGGTATTCTGAGACTCTAGCTCACTCCAAAAAACTATTTTCTACTAGTGGGGAAGAAACTATAACCTATTAGTAAGTAGACAGCAATGCAAGCAATGCAAAGCTTTGGAATCTTAATACATGCAGGAATAGCATGTGAAGCAGAGTGTTTATTCCTGAAATCAAATGTGGCTCATTTATTTTTTTGAAAGCTAGAAGGAACTGGAATACCAAGTTAAAAAGGAAGTTAGCACTAGAAAGGAAGAGTACAGGAACAAGAACCAAAACCAGTTTGCAGAGCAGATCATTTTCCCAAATATGTTTTCCATGAGCTCATCTAAAAAGTAAGTTAATGGGTAAAAACACTACAAAAGCTGAGCAATCCATTACCATCTTGGGAAGATCTTAGTCTACTCAACACAGACAACTGGCAATCTCTGCAGGTGGGATGTAACTTGGGATTCAATCTAGCATCTATTGAGAATGCTGGACCCTCCACTGTTGTCAAAGTTCTTATTTTGTATTTGTTGTCTGTTCTTTCAGAAATACCTATATTTGATAGCCCTTTTTAATTAGCTAACTAGATTTCCTGAATCCTTTCAAAATTGAAAGCTTATGAAAATAAACACCAAAAACATCCCTCTCCACAAAGGAAAACAAATATATCCTGCTTACCAAGAAACCTTTTCATCTGATAGTGAACAGGTTTTGTTCTCTGGGTTTAGAATGGTTGGATTAACTTCCAGGGCAGCATTTACACGAATAACTGGTCTAGCCCTGCAAAGAAAACATCCTCTTGAACAGCATTCAACACCATAGTAGACAATACCTTGCCCATCAAATTGTGAAATATGCATATGCACACTTAAGACAATATTTAGTAAAACTGCAAGAATAACAAATAATCATTGAGTAGATTAGGGAAAAGCAGGAAGCTTTTCCATGTCCCTTCATTACTATCAGAGGCAGAACACAGGCAATTGTGTTAAGAGGAAGTTCTATCCCTTTCTAGCACACACAAATTATTTTCCCAAAATGAGCAATTATGGATGAGAACATCAGGACTGCAGTTTAACTGTTAGCAGCACCCTGAATGTGTCAGAATCTAGAAAACTGTCACTTTGAAAGCCTTGAAGACATCCTATTTGTATTATCTCTTAAATATAGATTATTGAGAAAGATAAATACTAGACAGACTGTAGATTCACTCAATGAAAACAGTAGTGTAACCTTTTCTGACCTCCAGCAGCTTGGAATGTGGAGTGGCACAATTACAGACTCCCCTTGATGCTGCTTTATTTTGTAACTCAAAAGTGCCACTGAGCTTTGCTTGCATGTAATGTAAAAGCATAAAGGGATACTTACCTATACAAAACAGCTGTGTCAACACCAAAGGCTCCAACAATCAAATCTAGGAAGAAGGGAGAAATATTATGCATTACAATCTGTTTTTTCAAATATGCTGTCAGTGAGACGGTGGGGCTACTATGAAGTTATCCTAAAGTGACGTTTAGTGCAAAGGACCTGGGTATCCATTTTTGTCCACATCTGTAGCTCCTTTCAGCGAGTACCCAAAACTGGGTGGCATACTGCGAGCAGCCCACTGCCCTTCAAGAATTTGAGATGGGACTGCATTCAAACCATTTGCTCTTCCATTGTAGATATAGACAAGTCCTCTCTTGTCCTCTCCACCATATGGTGCAGCAACTGCAATATCTGTAAACCAAAAGAACAATCATCAACATCTCCAGACAGACACTAGGAGAATGTACTAGTGCTTACTTCAATAATTTCTTAATTTTTGATATTACAGTTTCACTGTGTGTCAGTAGAGAGAAAATAAATGTTTAACAAGATCATATATCACAGACTTAGGGAGGGAGAGGAGAAGGGCAAGGAATAGTTCTACAAACACTTCTACACTCCAGTAACTGACAGCCAAATCCTACAGATTTGAGATGTGCTGGGGAATATTAAACACCCAGAATTAGTCATTGCTGACATCAAATCACAAAACTAAGAGGGACTATCAGCCCATTTCATTAACATACAGAGGTTACTCCACAGGGTGTGACACTTCTAATAATTCTGGAAAATCTGAATCAGCCTATAACAACAGTAAATACCAAATTCCAGTCTATCTTGATCATGGCTTGGCAATGTGTTTTATGGACAACTTTCAGTTAGTGTCATTATGCTATCTGTTAAAGCTTAATAAATTTGGGAGTACTCATTATCAATGACTAATAAAGAGTAAAACAAAATGCTAATTGGACATGTAATGTCTGTAAGGACAGCTTTACAAGTGTACAAGATCCAAATTAAACATTTTCACAGTTGGTTCAAAGACTAAACATGAAACAATATACATTATGTTACATGTTACTTTTTCTGCAAATTTGAGAAAATTTCATGAAAAGAACAAGGACTCAAAAGTTTACCGTTTAGTATTTTTGACTCATCTTTACAAACTTTATGAAAACAGTAAAAATTCCAATCTTGCACCATACTGTGATGGAAAGCATTTTAATTAACACTCCCAAAATGAAACAGAGCAGGAAAAAATAAGACTTAAAAAAATAGACTAAATAATAGCAAATTAATAAAAAAGAGACAAATTTTGCTATGATTTTCTCACCTATAGTGTATTTCAGATTGAAGCGTGATGGAATCAAAACATTTTTTGGATAATCTCAAGTGACCACATTTCTGGCTATCAGCTATAATCTTTCCAATGTCTTCTGTAAATAGTTGCAGTGATATTGCATGTTCATACTAACTGTATAATTTTAGCAACTAAAGTTCCAACCCAAACTATCCTGTAATACTATGATTTTATGATTTCATTTAAAAAATAAATTTGACCTGCCTGGGAATTTGAAATATTAGCCTATTATAAATTTTGATCTTTCAGAAAATACTTAGCTTACAAGCAGAATGGAAAACCAAATATGAGCATTTTCTTGCAGAACCCAAATTCCTACCACTCTTTCAGCAACACTGGAGTATGACTTGCATAACAAAGTTCTCCCTAGTATTCCTGGAAGTTTCTGTCTCCAAACTACATGATTGTCTAGACTTTTCTCAGGAAAATCTCTTCTATCAGATAATTTTTAACTAGATCTCTGAACAAAAACCTTCTTTTCAGTCACCTGAAGAGGAAAATCGGCTTTAAGCAATGGAAACAGGAAAATTATATTGGAGATGTCCTAACAAGTCACAGTGGAGAATCAGATATTTCACTGAAGTTTCTACTGTACTTATCACCTAGAAAGTAATAAACTGATCAGTGTAACAGCTAAAAGAATCCATGTTGTTTAAATGGTATAGTCTCTGCTCGATGCGTACATGTAAGTCCTGTTAGCATTCTTGGGAGTAGCATACAAGCATCGAAAAGAGTCTAGACCTTATTGTCCAACATTCAGTCATGATTAAGAATGCCTAATGTTTGCGTGCAGAATCCACATTCAGTGTGCTGTCTAGATTGCATCTTTGAATGGAAAATACTGATCGATAAATGATGTCCTACCATTGAAGCCATCCTGATCTAGATCCCCTAGAGGTGCAATAGAACTGCTGAATCTTGCAAATATCTCAAAACCATTCAGCTTTGTGATCTGAAACCCTCCAAAGGCTCGTTGAAGGCAAATGGAAACTTGGCCGACCTCTTGAAGTTTCCCATCAGAACTTCGATCCATAAAAAGAGGGGCTCCAATTAACAAATCTGTGTAACTGGAACAAAAAAAAGGTAAGTTTCTTCAGTAATAACATGAAAATTCAGCTTCCTTCTCTTCAGCAACCGTTAGAAGGACTGACTCAGCACTGAAGTCAATAATAAGATGAAAGTTACCTATCTTTAAATTGTAACTGAGGGCAAATATTTATTGACTAAGTAAGCACAAATATACTAGAATTTAATGCATCTAAAGCATGTGAATACACATATGTATTTGTGTAAATAAATACAAAAAAAAAAATCTACAACTGTTAAAGAAAATGTTTAAGAATCATAGAACGGTTTGGGTTGGAAAGGACCCCAAAGGCAAGGATCATCTAATTCCAAGCCCCCTGCATGGGCAGGGACACCTCACCCTAGATCATGTCACCCAAGGCACCGTGCAACCTGGACTTGAACACTGACAGGCATGGAACATTTACCACGTCTTTGGGCAACCTGTTCCAGTGCCTCACTGCCCTCACAGTAAAAAGCTTATCTAATCTGAACGTCCCCTGTTTAATTTTAAACCCATTACCCCTTGTCCTGTTGCTACAGTCCCTGATGAAGAGTCCCTCTCAGGCATCCCTGTAGGCCCCCTTCAGACATTGGAAGGCTGCTCCAAGGTTTCCATGCAGCTTCTCTTCTCCAGGCTGAACAGACCCAACTTTCTCAGCCTGTCTTCATAAGAGAGGTGCTTAAGCACCCTTATCATCCTTGTGGCCTCCACGGGACTTGTTCTGACAGCTCCATGTCCTTCTTAGGTTGAGGAGAACACCAGAACTGCACACAGTACTCCAAGTGAGTTCTCACAAGAGCAGATCACCTCCTTTGACCTGCTGGTCACACTTCTTTCGATGCAGCCCAGCACACAATTGGCTTTCTAGACTGTGAGCACACACTGCTGGCTTATGTTCAGTTGAGTGCTAGCAAGAAAGTGTGTTGCACAGATACGTGTTTAGTCAGTAATGAAGACAGAAATCTATATTGGAGGAAAGACTTTAATAAAAGCTTTTTTTTTCCCTTTCCAAAAACAAGTTGGGTGGCAGCTGGGAGAAGAGGGCACTTACTTGTCCCCATTGATATCTGTGGCAGCAACTGAATACCCAAAATAAGCAGCCATCTGGAAAACAAAATTTAAACCAAACTTGTGAGTTTTACTGATATAAACACACAAACAAGTTTACATAAAGTTCTATAGAAAAGATGCTAGTGAGATAATGATATGTACCACAATTTTTGTCTTTATTTTCCTTTCTCTTCCTTACTCTGTTAGAAAGTGAACTGATGAGTTACCTTCCCCATTCTCCATTTCATGATCCAGTCCTTCCTAATTCTTAAAATAGGCAGCATTTCCTTCATTTAAATAAGATTGTTTTTCTAAGTAGTACTACAAAATAGGAACTTACAGAACACGTACTTTTAGGATTCTTACAGACTTTTTTTTTTATTTGGCAAATAAGCTAATAATATACAAAATATTTTATGTTCTAGTACCCTAAATACTGTCCCAACGTGTCATCTTTCCATAGGAATAGCCTCCCCGTCACCCACTACACTCAAAGCTACATACCTGCTCTCCAGTGAAGTTGTACATGGAAGACATGTTTTTCCCATTATAAATAGACACCTGCACATGAAGAAATACACATTTCAGCAATGCAATTATTTTGGGGGTTCTTTTTGGTAAAGTTTTAAATTTAAAAATTTAAAACTTAAAATTCCTACCATGCCCAAAGTTCTTGCTGCTCTTGGGATTCCTGATACAAAGTCTGAAACATAAAGCAAGACACCCAGATAACATTCAGGTCCCAAAGTGCAACGGCTTTGCTTGAACAGAGTTGTTCATTGCTAGCGCTTTATGCATTTTCCTGCGCACTACATCAGTTGTTCTATACCATTTATTTGAAAGACCTGCCCAGCCTAACAACATGATTTTTTTACTGATGCAAAGGTCTTACCTTCTATGCCATCACTATTGAAGTCTCCAACAGTCACCGAATAACCTGATCAACAGACAAAATTAGTAAATAATTTTAAAAACCTCACTAAAACTTTCATCTCTTTACACTCTTCATAGGTCTGTATGCTTCACCTTAAAACACAATGGAATAAATATTGCCTTTAAGTAGCTTAGACTATGAACAGCTACGTAAGTACACTATAATTCATCAACATCCATGAATTTGAGATCAGAGGATGAAAATTTTAAAATTATCATCCTGGGAACGATCTTAGTCTATCCTTGTTTTTTTCTGAACCCAGTTAGACATATATGAAGCTAAATGATAACTTCCCACTCCTCTAAGGGACTCTATTTTTCTTCCAAAACATGATTCTTTAACATTTTATTTTTATTTTGTTTTGGTAGATTATTTAGAAACAGCTGCTTTTCTAAAAAAATAGGTATAAAAAATAACACCTCACATAAAAATCATACTTCAGCCATTCCCATATTCAGCCTGAGTCATAGAGACAAAAAAAATCATGGAAATATTTCCATTTATTTTGTCATCAAGTGTTTTTTGAATCAAGATACCTTATTTCCATCATGCATAAATTACTGCATTTTCAGGTATGTAGCTCTTTAGTTCTCTCTCAAATGATGAATTAATGGTAGTACGATTTAGACTTAAATATAAATAGGGCAAGGGAGTTTTTCAAGTACAGCTAGGTTTTCTTCCTTTTCAAACTACGCACCCAAGTAGCTGTCATCAAAAGCAGCACTGGCAGGTCTGGTTGCTAACTGTTCATCATATTTTGTACTGTAGACTTTGGAGTCATATTTAGCCACAATCTCTGTTACTCGATCAGAAATCAGCTGGCCTAAAGAGAAAGAAAACAGTTTAAAATGACAAATAAAATGTGTGTGCATTCATTCAGTAAGCAACAGAACTCATTTACAGATTGCTTGCTTCTAAAGAAACAACTTTTCCCCAATACTGACCAGAAAATAAGCAACAGCAGAAGTACTAGAAAGGATATAAATGAAAATTTGGATCCAACTTCAGCAAAATTTATGCACAGATGTAACCAGAAGCACACAAAGTTTTCACTGAAAACAGAAGCTGCATGAAAGCCAGGACTTAAATGAGTCTGCCCAGTTAGGTAACAGTAAGCATATGCTTATGGAACCACAGACCTGAGTTGTTGCTCCTTGTCTAAATACCGTAACATGAGAGCTTAATACAGCAGTCAAGAAGCTAATGAGATGAGCATAGTGAATTATTGCCTTCTGTTCTCACTTCACCAGCATCTAGGTGGTGATTTCATCACGTTCTTTTCTTTGAGTTCAAATTAAATCTTGAATCATGAAAAGTTTTCAGAAGAGAACCTACTTCACATACATATTCATATGTGTATGAAGTATAGGGAAACTACCCCTCTAGCATCTCAGGATGTTCCATTTTGTTCAGAATTCAAAATGTAGCACCGGAAACAAGCTTCCTGTGCTGCTGTTTCTACATGTAGGCTGGCGTGATACAGAAAATCTTTTATAAACTTAGTATTTGCATTAAAATAAAACAGGCAGCAGAGTTTGGCAGCTATGTCCTAATAGTAGCAGCATCATCTTTTGAACAAAAAGCTATAGCAAAACATGGAATGATCCTGCAAATACTGACTGAAGCCCACATTAGCAAAATATATAGGTAATGTTCTGTGTAACAGTGCAGGCAGAGGCAAAATTTGCACCATGGCATGAATAGATCAATATGAACAAATGCAATACATCTTTGCTGTCAAAGAAAATAATGATAATTCTCTTTGAAGCGTACATTTCTATTTGAAAATACACACTTCATGCATGTGTCAAAAATTACAAAACATGTAGATTTTGAAAAAAAGCAAAATATCCTAGAGGAAACTTAGGCTGCTGGTGGAAACAAATTTCAGATTTCTGGGAAAATACCTTTAAAACGATCATAGAGTTATTTTAAAGACAAATGACACATCCATACAATTCTTACTTCAGTTTTAACCTGTGGTTGCCTTGATTATTCAGAAGTATTTTGAAGGACGAAGAATTATTTCTGTTAGTTCTCTTACTGATGAAGACTTTGACAGTGGTTGGAGGAGTGAGGACACAAATGACCAAGAGAGTAAAGAGAAAAATCAAATAGTCAACTTCTTTGACTTAAATGATGTATCTCACCTTGCCAGTAAAAACTTCCAGGTCCTCCAAGTAGCACTCTGTCTCCCTTGGAGGGGCAGGGAGAAAGAAAAAGAAAACACACATGAACCATAAAGACGTAATGTAAAACACTGAGATAAAAAAAAACAATATTCCTTCAGTGACTTGCTTCTCTATTTCACCCATTTAAAATTCTAGGCAGAATTCTGCTTTTATTGCAATAGACCCTTCCCCCCTCATATATCTAAGACAAGAGAAATACAATTAGGAGAAAATTATAGGAATGCTACATGATAATAACAACAACATGTTTTAGGTTAGCATATAAACCTAATTTCATCTTCTGCCCCTGCCACATTCTGTAGCATATCTTTAGAAAAGTTTAATTCAGAAAAGCTGTAATATAATTTCTCTCACTCCATATTCCTTGATACAATGGCAGTCCACAAACCATTTCATGAAACTTCAACCAGATTAGCTATCCCAGTGCTGGGAATTCTTCAAATACTGAAGTGGGCCATAACCTTTGCTGCACAATTAAGCCACTTATTCAGGTTTTAATCTTAAAACCTCCCATATTTACCACTAAAAAAATCTAGGTCAGAGATTTGGAGATACCTTATAGCCAGGCTTGCCCATTCAGCTGGGGTTTTGGATTATAGCCCAAGGTTGGTCTTAACTGGGGCTGAAGTCTGCACAGTAAACCTGAGGGATGCGTGCAAAATAAACACAATCCTATACTGCACTTTGCAAACTCTCCTCTGGAGGAAAACAAGAGTGTCCTTGGGCAAATAGTGAAAAGATATAACACAATAAGACATTATAAGGTGGGAAAAACCCAAAAAATTTCCACATCACAAACAGGACTTGCGTGGTCTTAACATGTCCAGGCTACGCTAAACAATTTAGCTGTACCATATAAAAAACTACAGTTAGTTCTCAGATTTGTGCACAGTTTTAAAAAGTAATTGTGAATTTAAAAGAAAAAATAAAATATCTATGGAAGGCAAGGAGAAAAGTAAAATAAACTAAGACAGCACAAAAAAAAAAAAAAAGCTATTTCTGCTCCCTGATAAGAAAAACAAAATAAAATTCACAAGAACATTGTTTACTAGTTCTCTTTAGCAATAAGTTATCCTTTCTCAGGAAGTAACACTAGCTATGCACCAATCCCTTCAAAGTAAGTGTCTCAAAAGCCTGACTATTACAGATTATTTCACTTGAGGACTAGATGCAACAAAGGTTTATAGCATGAAGCTAAAGTGGATAATTTGTTCAGGATATGTTTTCTACAAGAAATGGAAGTGTGCTGCTGTGAAGATGAAGGGAAAAACCAGTTTATAATATCTGAGTGGGTTGAAATTCTTTTGTTTATTTACAAGAATGAGTTTGGTTTTGATTCTTTCCCCCAGGAATGGTAGTTCACATTTAGTTTTGTCATAGCTGTGCTTGTATGTGGTTGTTAACTTGCAACTGTTTGCTGACTTGTAGGAGGAATTGAGGAAAAAAAACCCACATACCTTTGTAAAGTCAATACTGAATCCACCTTGACAAAATCCCTGTCCATCAGCATCGATAGTGGCTACATTCAGGATGGATAGGAAAAAGAGAAAAATAAATAGAATAAATATTTTTAGTACAAGATCAGATGATTCTGTGGATCTTTTCCAGTGCATCTTCCTAAGCAGCCTTGCACCCCTGAACTTGAACCTTGGAATTTTTTTTTTCTCCTAAATCCATATTTTTGCTTTATCAACAGTTCACAAACAAATGCTGTAACAATTTTAGGGCTGGCCTGGTATGTACATATATATATATAT